GTCTTCAACTGGACTCCGGTGCTGATGAAGGACGGCCGTTTTGCAAGGATCCTGCGTACTCCGAGTTTCGGAGAATTTTTTGGAGGGGCGTTGGGTCTTCGTCTCGCCCTCTACCCTAAACCCTAGCTTAAAAAATATCCTAAACCCTAAACCTTGTAATGAGAATGCTTTTACAGACAGACTCCAAAAGACCCTCAAAAAGAACAACCCTTACAGGAATCCTCTAGGAACCCCAGAAAGGCCCTTCTTGAAGTCTCCTTCGCCTTGAGGAGGGTGAGCCGGATCCGCCTTTCGGGCACATCTTCGCGGGCTTCATGATCTTCTGCATGCTAGGCCTCCCAACAGGGTTGAGCTTCATGTGCTACTGGTAAACGGCGCCACCCATCCTCGCGTGTTGAGCGGTCTTGCAACTGCGCCTCAGAGTTTGCGAGGCAGTCGCCTCTTTTCGATGGCAGTGCACAGCATACCGAACGAGAGGATAGGTGACCTGACATGATGCTATGACTTGGAGTAACTATGGGTCTTCCGTTCGCACTGTGTAGACACTTTTGCCAGTCAGCAACGGCAGTTCCACTCGCTGAGTTGCATGTTCGGGCTTCGGTCATACGCGGACATTCAATGGTGCTTACTTCGCAGGTAGATTCATTTGCCATGTTAGCGAAAAGCTTGGTTTTACCAAGCGCCTGCCTCATTCTGTGCTCCGGCTTCATAGTAAGCGGTTCCCACAAAGTTGTGACACTTCGACGGTATGAAGTCTTTTGAAGCCGGTGTGACCGATGTATCCAGCAAGGCTTCAGGTTCGGCATGCATCGCACAGACTCTTATTGCCTCTAGGACGAACATTTGTAAACGACACCGGCGGTACGGCGCAGGCACGGCGAGATGTTCTCACAGGGCATGCGGCACTGCTCAAAAGGCGATCACTCACAGCGCGGCACGAAACTAGCACCATCTCCGACTTTTCTCCGGATCTGTCCTGGTTTTCTCTCGACCGACAACTTGACTGACACACCCGAGCGCTCGAAACATCCGTCAAGAGCTCCCGGCAAAGAACTTCGGTCACCCGATCAGGGACTTCGTCCTTATGTTCCAGTGGTACCATCGATGCACCTACGACGCGCCTTGATGCAAAGGTTTACCTCATTGGAGGCAACCCTGCCCATGATGCCTCCTGAAACGTGTCATGCGGAGCATTCGCACCAGACGCACCGCGAAACACGAACCACTTCTACTCAACGCAGCGGCGTCGACCTGCACAACCAGAGCATCAACCCCGCACGAAAATTTCCTGTTTTTGGGCATGAAGGTGCTAGTTTTGTGGCCATTTTTCAACCTCTGAGTGCACTCGCCACCGGTCCAAACGACGACTGCGTTTGAACACGAATCGCCTTCGTCTCAGATATGTAAGAAACTTACGATATGAGTTAGATGGCTTGCGAATCGTGGCAAAGCTTCTGTGCTTTGGGGGAAAATGTGAATAAACCGAAAGCAAAACCCGAAGCCATTGTCCTACAGCCTCTATTCTAGTCCACCCTTCAGCAGCTCTGTGTTTTGTCAAATCCCCCAAAACTGCGCAATCAATCTCCGGAGCTCCGAAACTCAGGGATGTACACCCTTGTCGTGGCCGCCCTGTGCCATGGGAGCATCCTCTTCGTTGATTCTGAGTCGATTCACTTGTTGCTTGGCCGGACAGGGAGGTGTCTACTATTCGTACTAATTGTGTTGAAGAGTGTTGCTGGTGGTACTATAGCTACCGCTAGTGCCACCGTTGCACCTGCCACTTCGCTGCTGCTGCTACTGCTACCGCTGCAATCGCACCGCCACTGCTACTGCTGTCACAACTACTGCTGCGAAGACCGTCACTTCGGCTGTGAAACTACTCTTGCCCCGAGGCCCTAGGCAGCCACCAGCACCTCTGGATGTGCTGCGCAAATGTTTGTTCCAAGGCTAAGGTTGAGGAGCAACTCTGATCAACTTACTCGGAGAATTCCGAAAAGGTCAGAGGGAGGGTGGCCGAGACTCGGGGCTTGGATGTAGGGTTTCGGGATTGTAGATTTTCAATGTCAAGCAGCCGTAGCTGTTCCCTACAGCAACTTGCCACGGAAACCTCTCTCCTCATTGTTCGTGTATCTTGATTGCAGGAGTGCTTCTTTTGATTGTGCTTGCTGTTCTGCTTGCTATGACTGGGCTTACAGATCGTGAGGTGAAGGTCACCAAGCTCATCATCATGGTCTCATCTCTTGTCATGGAGAGCCCACCAAGGCTTGCATTCTTCATCTTCGAGATGTGCGTGGGCATTTACTTTCCCATGATGGGCACTATGAAGGGCCAGATCGTTCCTGAGTCTTTGCCCAAGCTTCACTGAGGGTTGTTCGTCAGTGGGACCAGGAGGAGTCAAGGAATTCTGCATCTCAGAAGTCTGAAGGCAGAGCTCAGCTCATGCTGTCATGCTGATTGCGCTTTGAAATCTCTAGATGTCTTAAGCACTCTCTGTGCTTTCCTGAACATTGAGGTCCAAGCGCAGTACCATATACAATCTCTATCGCGTTCCCCTGAATGCGATTGTGGTGCTGACATTGATCCTCAAGCTTGGCGAGGGCATCTCATTCATGGTCCAGCCCCAAGAGTCTTCGCAGTCACAAGAGTTCGCTACAACCATGGCAAATAGTATCCGCATTACCATTATTAGCCTTGTTCTTACTGGTATTTTTCTAACAATGAGTATGATTACTCATCTCATAACTACTGTTCTTTGGTTTATGTATGTTACTAGCATCAACATTGTTATTGTTTATTTCGGCGATTATTACTAGCCTTAATTCTACGATTAATATGCTTCCGCCTGTTGCAAGTATTGTCATTCTTATCATTGTTTTCATTATCATCATTATTATCATTGTAATCATTTTGGGTGTTATGCGTCATATTATTATTATTATTATTATTATGAGTATCACTCTTATTCGCATCATCATTTTGTTACTATTATTAATAGTAGTGCTAGTGTCTTACAATTACTACTGTTATTGTCATTATTAGTATTGCTACTACGACTGTTGTTGCGATAATGACACGCTCACAGATAGCGTTACTATATACATGCGCCTACGAGTCTGTTGTGAGGGGCAACGGCTTTGGGAACTGTTTCGAACCTACCGGAGCCTTTCGCACCTCTTAAGCGATTTCCAAACTTTTGATAGCTGCGTCTTGGGTATTGCCCCCCCACTCAGTAGTAGTTGAATCGTGTATTTATAATGCAGGTATGTAAGGCCTCAGCCCTGTTATGGACTGTTACTGTATGGGGGCGGTGTCCAATCTGTGTCCAATCTGAAGGCAACAACGACGATGCTTTGCATCGCTGCCTTTGCCCAGGCGAGTGTGAGCCAAGCTTCGGCTGGTCTTTCATCTGGAGTTTCTTCAACAAGGGAAAAACCCTAAACCCCTCAAGCCCATCGTCGAGGCTACTTCTGCAGACCTTGCCAGGCTAGTCCGAGAGTGAGTGTCCCTAAAGCCCTAAAGCCCTATTCTGATCTGGAGTTTCTGCAACAAGGGACCCTAAACCCTAAACCCCTAAAGAAGCCCTAAAGCCGTCTTCTGATCTGGAGTTTCTGCAACAAGGGACCATAGTATGGTAGAAAAGTTTCACTCACTCATTGGCAGACCTCGAACCACATGCCTCGCCTGGATTGTCCGAGTGTGAGCGCCGAGACCCTCTTGTGTGAAGCCTCGCCCGCCTTGCGCGAGAGTGAGAGACGAAACTACGATGTAGACACCTCAGTGTAAATTCAAGGACCCCTGACCAGAAACCAGGAGCAACCTGATCCGTTAGGTACAGATCCCCATAAATGGATCCCGGATTGGAAGAGTCCCTCACGCAGCGCAGAATCCTGGATAGTAGATAAAACTTTCCATCTTTCAGGGTTCAACAAAATCGTTATAGTATAACAGTATAACCAACATCCCAAAGCCCGGTTCTAAGACGAAGTTCCCTATATGAGCGAGTGGCAGCCCTGTCATGTTCGTTTTCCTACAATCATAGGGACCCTTAAGGGACTAAATTTCCTGAAATACGCCTTATTAAGTCCCTTATAGGTATGAAGGCCCCCATACCCCCTCCCCCCAACCGTCGAAGGGTCCTCATGATCCTGCAAGGCTCGCATCATCAAGCTCGGGGGTGCCAGGCCGGTGACTCTCCCAGCACCTACCAATGAGGACAAGGTTTAGGGTTTAGGGCTTAGGGTTTATGGCTTAGGGTTCAGGATTTTGCTGTTGTGGATTTAGAGCCTTTGGCTTATGATTTAGGGTCCGGAGTTTAGGGTCTGGGGTTCAGGGAAATGGATGAGGCAGGCAACTTGGAGGCACTTCAGAGAGACCTCGTTCAAAAAAGGGGTTCAGGGGTTTGAGCCCCTTTTCAGGGTTTAGGGTTTCAGTTTAGGGGGAGTCTGGGTTGAAAAAAGGGATTGCTTGAACCTCAAAAAACACCCACAGATGATGCAGCGTTTCATGTTCAGGGTTAAGGGTTTAGGGCACTCCAAGTCCGTGCTTAAAAAAGGGTTAAGGGTTTAGGGTTTTGGGTTTGGGCCCCTCCAGAAACCCAGAGATGAGGACAAGGAGCTGGTGGACCAGGTTGGAAAGCCCACGGAAGCTACTGAGGAAATGGAAGCGTAGCTGGCGAAGTGAACAATGTACATACAAATACACACACACACACACATATATATATATATATATACATGTTTGTTGTTGTAATGAATGGCATTATTGTTGTTTTCGTTATTCTTATAGTTGTTATTACTCGCCCAAAGAACTACTTGCTTAATTCAGCTGTCGCCTCGACAAGCAGAGTGCGAACAGCACACAGCATGACTCGCTGGCCCATCCGTTCTTGCTGATGGCGTCTGGACTTCTCGCCGTTTGAAAATGGCTTGAGAACGGCTTTCGGTCTTGGACCGCCCGTTCTTGCGTTTGGCCCCGAGCCTTCAGCGCAGAGTCAAACTCAGGTATATGCTTGCGACGGCCGGGGCAGATGGTGTGCTTCAGGCACATGCAGTTCAGGGCCTCTCAGGGCTGCAGGTGTAGGGTTTAGGGTTTAGGGTTTAGTGTCTGGCCTTGTTCAGAGAATAGGTGCGACACATCCAGGCGGGATTCACCCAAGCCTGTGCAAAAAAGGGCTTAGGGCATCTTTCTTGACTCCTGATCGCTAACAGAAGTGCTTTGCTACAGGCACGTTTCATTTGGCCTTCGTTGCCGTTGTCCAAAACATGATTGTGTCTACCTGGGTATCTCTGGTTGTAAACCTCGTTTGTAGACGCGTCCCCCAAGCCGGCTGGCGCTATCCACAAGTGTTCCGAGAGTGTTGTTGTAGTGAATAGTTTCGTTTTTTTGGCCTCTGAAGGAGGTCGGGTTAGCAGATTATTCGTGTTGCTTGGGCCGTTTTGAAACAAAGCAGATACTCCAGTTTCGCACCTGCTGATCTGGTCGCGTGGTTTCTGCCTTTCTGTCGTTGGCACTATCACGTAGGTTGTTTCGCTTCTTCTTCTTGAACTCATCGGTCTCAATCTCCGGTCTTGCAGTCAGCGACCAGTTTTTGTTCGGTTGCTTGTTCTGCTTCTTCTTCTTATTCTTTTTGTTACTTCTTATTTGTATTCTCATTCTTGCTATGTTTCTTATTCTTGGTCTTAGCCTTAGTCTCAGTCGTAGTCTCATTATTACGATTATTGTTATTGTTCTTAGTCTTATGCGTATTCATGTTCATCTTGTTCTCCTTCTGTGTATTGTGCTTGCTCTTGTTCCTCTTATGTTTGTGTTTGTTCTTATTCAGATAATTCTTATTGTTCTGGTTATTCTTATCGTTATTGTCACTGTTCTTATTCTTATTGTTATTCTTGTTCTTAGTCTTATTTCCTAGTTCTTAATTCTTATTCTTATATGTGTGGTATTAATGTCCGTACTGTCATTCTGATGCTTATTCTTGTTCTCATTCTTACCTTGAGCTTGTTCTTATTCTTACTCGCATTCTTATTCATATTCTTGCTTTTGTTATTTCCATTATTATTGTTATTCGTTTTTTGTTCTTCTTATTATACTAAGCCAAGTGGGAGCCAACATTATACTACTATGCTTCTTTATGGTTGCCATTGGCAGTTGCTCGACGGCCACGGCAGTCTTTCCTTGTTCTGCATCCTGTCCATGCTCAAAACCAGTCACGGCAAACTTGCTGAAGTTCCTGTTGCAGCTTCTGTAGGACGTGCTGTTGTAGTTCTCATGCTCTGCGTCTTCTGGTTGTGTTTCTATTCTTCTTCTTCCTGCTGGTGTGTTTTATTGAGGCCTCCCTGGGCATGCTACTCATGGTCTTCATCGCGGGCACACTCCTCGAGGCCTTGGAGAGGAGCGAAATCCGTTCTTTCATGCTTGGCACAGCTGACTGCAAGTGGGGGCTAAGACTTCACGCTGAATCCTAAACCTCAATCCCGAAGCCCCAATCCCTTGCAGCCCAAGACCCTTGTCTCAGTCGTTGCCCCAGCATCCCGCTTGGTATGTTCACCCCTTATTGTCTTCGTATATCTGATATCTCTGCCCAAGACCTCCTTACTGGGTTCCTTTCTCGTACAGATAGTTTGGATTCGAGATCAAGCCGCTGCGAGGGCATACTGCAGAATGCTGACTCCCTTTCTATGATGATTACAGCTCCCTGTCTATACAGGTCTCAGCGTGAAGAGCATACACTTACCCCTCTTAAGGAAGGGCTTTCCAGGTTATGTATTGTTTCCTCGTCAGTGACGTCAGAACCAGATGCATCGAACGAGCTTGAATGTGCAGGTGCGGCTTGTCCTCTGGACGTCCCCAGTCGTGCTTTTCGAGACCTGGTGGCACCATGATAATGACGGAGCGTGCGAAGGTTCGATTCAGAAAACGAGGGACGCCAACCTCAATTTCGGGGTTTCCTCTTTATAAATATAGTATAATGGGCCCCAAATTAAGGCCCCTACAGTAGACCAGGAGGACCATCACTGAAAAGAGCGGAAGCTTAAGTTTCAGATAAGTCTCTTCTTAACTTCGGAGTCTCTTGTTTAGAGGTCCTTGTAAATGCAGATTCCTATAACTTAGGTTGTTCATGAGCCAGGGAGTCCCAGATTTCTTGAAATCCCTCATGGGCCCCCCCGGACGTGGCAGAAACCCCGGCTCCAAGGTTTCCTTGCTTGCAATGGCAGCCTCGGGCACAACGCGCAGGGCTCAGCTTTAGTTCTTGTGGTGTCATAAGGGGTGGCATACATGGCTTCAACTAGGACTTGTACTGCGAGAGGGGGCATCTTGTTGAAGAAGCCGCTTGCACACAGTGACATCCGCCCACCTCCTACGCAAGATTTCTGCCTTCCCCCACTTTTGTTTGTGACGTGCTAGGTCCTGAACTCAATAAGACCGGGCTGAGAAGGATCGGCTACCTCATCTGCCTCGTGTGCCCCAGCACCCGTCTGGCAAGCAGCGCGGCCCAGTTTGTCCTCGCCAGGGGCTTACGAGGGCTTGCCGCTCTGCATCTATCGTGAGCTAATGGATGAGTTGCAACATATTGGAACCTGACATGGCAGATGAGCATGATCGGAGGACAGCATATGAAGAATGATAATTTCCTGTGCATTCTCTTACACCCTAAACCCTGTCTTCAGTGATCCAGCTTTGCATGAGAACTTGCATCCGTAGTGATGCAGTGGTTTGCAGTACAGTGTAGTAGCAGCAAAGTTGCGCACCCGAACGCTGTAAAGCAGAGACCTCGTCTGGCCAGTCCGAGTTGCGAGAGTGTAAACCCTAAACCCTTCAGTTTTGGCTATTCTGGTACAGGCTTGTTCAGGGCCCACATGCACGGCAGGCCTGGGTGATCTTCTTTGCGCCAGCGGCGCCGGCAGCTACCGCATCTTCGGCTCGGGAAACCTGCTGACTCCTAGGTCCTAAGTTTTGTAGACGTTTTTAAACCGTGTTCCAGAGTCTCTTTGTTTGGGGTAGTAGTAGTAGCAGTAGTAGTAGTAGTAGCAGTAGTAGTAATAGTAGTAGCAGTAGTAGTAGGGTGTGGGATTCGAGGTTGGTCGAGGCCTCCACACCCTGCCCCATCTTGTGAGGTAGTGCCGGCGGCGACTTGGACCCGCACTGGGTTGGCAAATAAAGCTTGGGGCGCGGGAACCTCCACATCCTCATCTCGAAATGCACCCTCTTCGCTTGGCGTCAAGGGGAGTGAGTTCTGAAATGCGCAAGGGAACCATGAACCGGGATACAAAGCTGTAGTTATGCTAAGGAGGCCCGAAGAAGAATATCAGTGACTACTTTGGTCTTTGTTACATTGGAGCCTACACCCTAGAGTTTAGGGTAAAGAGTTTAGCGTTCCGAAACCCTAGTTGGAGTCCGCTCAAATCTGATGCTGCATGCGTGAGAAGCCACCCGCTCCTTCAGCGCGTCTGGTTTGACCGCATTTAAGCTTCGGTCGCATCTAAGATAAGGTTGTTTCGAGGAGTTTGCCGGGGTTGCATCTGACCGTGAAGTCCATGACCACGCGCTGTTCTACATAGGGAGGAGCCGAAGCCCCCTATGCTATTATTTACTTTTTATTGCTCTAATGTAGCGTAGTATATTAAGATATACTGCAACTGTAATATACTAGAATATGCTATGCTATAATATACTGCAATATACCATAAACTGAAGCCTCAGTGACCCTGAGGCGGGCAAGCAGACCTGGACGGCGCTGTTCCTTCCGGCCATCCCCCCGGAAGCTACAAGCCACGTATCATATGCGCACATTTTATGTACAACAATAAACCAGCAGCTAACACTACATACATGTACACATATGTATACACATACAGTTTATGTATGTATCTAGAGGCAAATGGGGGGACATACGACTAGAATTCTTTCCCCCTCCTTCGTAGCATGACGAACCATTGCTGTGTTTGTGGGTCCTACAGGTGTATGGCTCTTCCCTGCAAAGCTTCTCTGTAAACATCAGCATGCAAGAGAAACTTGCAAAGGTGATTCCTTTCACTTTTGTACAGGAGCGGTTCACACAGCACCGCATTTCAAACGACCAGCTGACCAGCTTGTAAGCCATAGCATGATACGACTCAGGAAGCATATTTATCGCACCAGTGCATTCGAATTGCGCACGCATCCTGCATTGCTGATAATATTGGAAAGGGCTCCAGTTCGGGTACTCGCAGATACACTTCTTCTCCATGGTCATAACATTATCACTGACAACACCGCGAACATTAGCAACAACTGAACCGTGTTGAATGTCCCAGCTGCTTGTAGCAGCGACAGCAGGCGTCAAGCGAAGCTTGACAAAAAGAGAGGCAGAACGAGAGAGAGAGAGAGAGAGAGAGAGAGAGAGAGAGAGAGAGAAAGAGAGAGTCAGTCCCACATGCCCCGGAGCAGAACAGAGAGATGCACGCAAGGACAGATATAGCAAATCGCAGTTGTACCAGCCAGATCCAACTTTAGCCAGTCATGGCACTTCCAGCACCTGAACACTTCATCATGGAACAAACGTTACACCCCACGTCCTGGTCCTACACAAAAAAAGGCCCTCCACATCCTGTTGCTCGGGTTTACTTGCACAGTGGTACTTTGTTGTCACGACTCTGTATCCCTAAACCCTAAACCCTAAACCCTAAACCCTAAACCCTAAACCCTAAACCCTAAACCCTCGTACGACTCTTAAGCCTCGTATAGCTACGGTTTCACTTCTCAGACCCTGAACCCATTGCCTCGCCTGGATTGTCCGAGTGTGAGCGCCGAAACCCCAAATGGGAGTTTCCGAAAATTGGGGTACCATATTTTGAAATTCCTTATAATAGGGATCCTACTATTTAGGGTACTATATTCGGTTCCCCTATTTTCGGAAACTCCCAAATCCAGTCAAGGTCATTTCGGCCCATCGGGCAACATTCGAGCTGACTGCTGCCTGTGTCAAGGGCCGTTGCTTTGCAGCTCAAGATGTGACTCTTGGTCTTGAGCTGACAGGTTTAGGGTAGTCTAGGGGTCTGTATAATTTCCAAAGTCAAACCCTTTTCCCTGATCAGAGTTTTGCCATGATATAGACCCCAATGGTTATTCTAATGATTGAGGCCCCCATAACATTCGGGGTTTGAACGTGGTCTGGATGCAAAAGGGATCCGGGGTTTGAGGGTCCTTGGCTAGGTTTTATCGAATTCAGGGTTCCGCTTGAAAGGGGCGTGGGAACCTAGTTTGCATGAGTAGTGTGGAAGCTTGAACCATTACTGACAGTGCACCTTGGGGTTCCTTGGTATAGTGATGCTATATTAATCCCAGGAACCTTGTTCTAGTCTGGATATTACGGCCCCTATGTTAAACACATGTGGTAAGAGCTTTTTTGAGAAGCATCCTCAGGCAATTCTCGCCAAACCTGCACCTGAGACATCCCGAGCCTCCGACCCTCAACCCTAAGTGTGGTTTGTTCAGCTGGGCGGTTTGCAAAAAAAGCATGGTTTGGGCTTGAAGGTGCAGGGTGTATGTAGATGTCTGGGGAACAGCTTTTTAACAGTAAGAAACCCTGAGCCTTCTCCCCGTTCGCCCAGGAGGGAAGCCTTCATGACGGGGAGGCCGCTGCAGTGTCTTGTTCTGGCCGGTTGCATCCGAATGTGCAGCAAGGGGTTTAAGTTTAGGGTTTCCGACTTTTGGGGGTTGGGCAAATGTAGGGGTTCAGTTCAGAGGTTCAGATTTTCGCCAGTTACGACTTGGTGCGTCCTGTGAGGAAACCCTTGAGGTTGCTAGCAATGGCGCCACCCGGTTTGTCCGGCTCAAGCACGAACACCTCTTCTTCCGAAGATGTGGTGTCTTGCGTTGTTTGTGCAATGCCTCCACCGCGGATAGCATGCGGGTGTGGATGGAAGGCGCCGAAGCTCTTGATCCTCTTAGCACCTTGGCCGCCTTGGCAGGAGGGGACATAGGGTTGCAATCCATGGTGCAGGCAGATCTGATGTCGTTCTTTCTTCTCGCTGCAGGGCGTCTTTTCATGTGCCATGTCATACACATGTATTCGGCCAAACCTCGGTATGCTATTGCCATGGCCGCTGGAGGCTACGAGTGGCACGGCAGTTCGTGATGAGTCCTTCGGCACGAACATCGATGTCGACAGATCGGGCGCACGTGGCAAGAATAGTGCATGGGCAAACTCGAGCCTGCTTGCGAGTCTCGACTGGCATTAGTATTACTCTTGCAAGTTCTTTGCTGCTTTCGAACACACCGGTTTTTGCCACTACTGCGCCCGGCTGGAGTTAGAGAGACTTCTTCAATGGGCTTGCACAGAACTGATGACCTCTTCTCCCATCGCCTTTTCGAACTCCGAGTGCTTCTCCACCATCTTTTTCCTCCTCGTCTTGTCGCTGCGCATTAACAACAACTTCCACCACCGCCGCCGCCACCACCACGACGACGAATATTTCTACCTCCTACTAGTACGACCACTATCACTCCCACCCCCACCCACTCCCACTCCCACTCCCACTGCTACTTGTGCTCCTACCCCTACTCCGACTTCCTAGTCCTACCACTTGTACTGCTGCGACTAGGTGTTTGTCTCATCCCTGCCACACCAAGGACGTCGCACACGAAATCCGCTTCTGAACAGGTCCCGGGCGGGGCGCTTGCTGTGGCGGCTGCCGAAGTAGCCCTTGTGCGCCTGAGCTTCATTTAATGTGGCACATTCATTAATGAACCCTGTGCACAAAACCTGGTTGTCATGAAGCACCACTAACCCTTAACTGGGCTGATCTTGATATGCATCGCGCAGCTGGATGTTTGAAGCGGAAGTGCGACGTCCCAAAAGCCTGTGCCCTCGCTTATGCAGCCTTCCACCTTCGTGCCCAACGTTGATTTAACTCCCCGCATGTGCCATGCAGTACTCCGGTAGCCATGCGGAGCCAAGTAGTGCTGTGGCCCTCACTTCCTGGATGTCTTCCGTGACCTGTGAACACAAAGACCTAGAGAGTTCGAAACAGCTGCTAAGTGGCCCGGCGCAGTTGCCACGTAAGTTTGGCTGTCGCGTGCTGTATGCTCTGTTCCTTTGCCGACTTATATAATGATTTAAACCCTTCCGAGTTGTGATCGCCCACAGCCTAGTCCTTAAACCCGACCCCAAACCGCAAGCCTTTGAGGAAGGCTCCCTGGCTTGTGGTGAGAGTCACAACCACCACGGAAGCCTAACCTTGAATCTCATGCGTGGCTCGTGTTCCCAAACTAAACAACAGACTGTAACACGCTCAATGAACGAGCGAGGGACCCGTATGATCACCAACTTACTTGATCAGCTGATCCGCTTCACTGTGTCATAGTTGGGTAACATTTTGAGATTTCGCTGCCTACTTAATAAGCCCAAGAATGAATGAATTGAAAGTTCAATTTCAATATTATCTGAACCATGGACTTGTTCAAGTCTTGGAACATGTGGCATCACATACTCGGCAGATCAGGTAATGAGATGATATGAGATGATGCAAGGACAGAGAAGGATGTGCACACTCAGGGGTACGAAGACGAATTCGAATGCAATTGGTATCCTATCTTTCTTGAACTCTACACTTTAGCCATGGTATAGCACATTATAAAGGGCGGCGTCTATTGTAAATACAAACGAGTGGCTAAAACGAAAGCGAAGGACACATGACACACACACACACGCACACACACACGCAGAGTTACAGCCGCTTGAATATTCATAAGTGCAAAGCGATAGTTGGCAATATGCCAAACATAAGTACCATCAAGCAAGAATGTATGTAGGTCCGAAATCCTAAGCCCTAAACCTCAGTAATGTAGGAACCTGATTAAGAAACCGTGGGCCTATACCCCCAAAATAGTAGGATTCATATCAGGAACCCAAATGAAGGCCCAAGGTTTCTTAATCAGGTTCCTACATGACACATAATTTAGAAGGGGACCCCCGCCCTGTAATAGTGGTACAAAGGAATATATTAGGGCCCTAATATAACCCTTATAGCTACTATTACAGGGTGGGGGCAGCTTCTAACACAGAATGCACTGCCAAGGAAGGCCGTCGAAGTCCAGGCCCGGATGAAAGCCCAAGCAATGGTCTGCGCCGACCACATCGTGGTGCCCCCAGGCCCCATCGGAAATCATAAGCCATAAACCCGTGCGGCTAAACGACACGATGGTTCAAAACCAAAAACTTTGAGCAACACCCTTAGTCATTAATCCCTGAACCTCAACTCTGAACCGTAGCCCACACCCTAAACCTAAGGGGAAGAACTCCTGCACCCTAACCCTAAACCACCAAAAAGAATTTTTGAATCTTACACCCTATAGAGCCAGGCCTCATCGAACCCTAAACCCTAACCCTTCAGCTAAGAGGGAAGAAACCCCCTCGGCCAGGCCCCATCGAGCTGAAACCGGACTGGCGCCAGCCCAAGAGCTCTCGAGAGTAATGTAGGGGCCTTTATAATTGGCACATCATGAAGCGACTTGACATCTGCTCTTCTCGCTCTTGGCTTGTTAAGTAAGGTGCACCAAACATGTGTGTGTGTGCCCATAACGACACGGCTTCCAGGGAGAAAAATGTATGCCAGTCGGAGATGTCTGTTTCTTGAGGCTGTATGGTGTTGGTTGCGCCTTGGATCACGGGCACATGTGCCACTGTCCGTGGAGGGTGCCCCATGGCTGATGTTTTCGATATGCTCGTTGCTGCAGTGCTGATCATTCGGGCTATTGGTGCACGTCTCTGGTGTGACGCTTCGCTGGTGAGGTTCTTCGGCTGCCAGAGGATGCTTAGCTGAACAGACAGTCGAGGCTATTCTGCTCAGGATGCTGCAATGCAGCATCACTTGTGTGCATGTCGTCTGCGCACCCCGAGGATATGTGAAAGTTCTGTTTGTCCCAAGGACGGGTATGTTTGGCTTGCCTGGGGGAGTCACTACTGCCTGCGGCTCAGACAGCTCAGACCAGAGAATTCGCACAGCAGCAAGGGGCGACCCTGGCTCATAGCAGCAATACCATTCTGCACCACTAGGGACCGAAATTCTGCGACAACCGCCATGAAGTGTCTCTCCGTTCAGCGCAATCAAGTTCGTACAGCTGAGGACATCGTTCAGAAAATGGGCTTCTGTCGCATAGAACCCTGGATCTTTATCATCCCTCCCGCCGCTAGTCAAGCAGACAATCTCGGCAATGGAAGACCCGAGTTCAGGATGTTCACGTAACGTATGTTCTGGGGCTCTGTGTGGTTGAAAATGTCAGGGTCTTGGGCAAATAATCGCTCTTCCGATTGAGGCTTTAGGGCTGGCAGAAGAGCTCAGATACTGGTGCACGGGCATCGCACACGTCGCAGGTTTTACTTATCGGCGCTGCCATCGTCTTCATGCCATCTTCTTCAAGATCCTCTTCGACCAGCGAGGACCCTTCGCAGCCGAGGTGGATGAAGGCTCTGCTCCCTTGGAAAGCTTGCTTGTTTGGTAGGATGGGGAGAGCACTTCCCTTCCTTGGGACCACTTACAGCCCTCAGGCCTTGGACCCACAAGTAATTATATCAACCCACACAGCGGGGGCGGAAGCCCCCAAATCCTAAACCATAAACCCTGAGCCTTCCAGCCGCTCCGATTTCGGTGTATTTGGGAACATGGGTTGCAGGGAGTGGACGACGAAGTGAAGGAGAGCAAGCGCCGCAGCAAGTCCGAGACGAGCGACGATGATGACTGACAGCACGCGTGACACTCCGGTGTCGCACTTGGACTCGTAGAGGTATCCAAAACACTAAGACCGAAGACACAAACACCCTGAGCTCTCAATGCTTTCAAAGCTCTCGACCCTAGACCCTGAACCCGGTGTCGCACTCAGAAGTGAGTGGCTTCCCCAAGAGACCAGACGGCCGCCGGAACGTGAAAAAAGAGCTTCTCGGGCTTCCGCTCATGCCTTCTTTCTCATGATGGAATACCAAGCATTAGAACTTATATAACCTTAGCCAAACTCTCATCCCTGAACTGGGGCGTCAATCTCTTCCGATTTTTCGTCGTGGGCGAGCTCTGCAACATCCAGAAGGCACCTCCGACATGCTTGGCTTCTGATTGCACGTGACGCATCAGCTTTGGTGTATCCCCGCACCTTGAGCAAAACTCGTGTTTGGTTTTGACTACTATCAGTGTCAGCCTTTAGGAGATGAGGCATATGCTGGCACCCCCTACCAGAGCAGTGGCAAGTTGCAGCAAGACGACGTTCGTTAGCACGGCACTGAAGGAAAACACCGCTTCTGCATCTGATAGCTGATGACAAAGGGTGTCAGAGCAACGGGGAGAAGAAAGGGCGTTTTTGGTGACGACCGAGACGACGATCATGGCGACGACGCTAATGAAGATGAAGATGTTTGAAACTACTGTGCTTGTGCTGAAGAAGCCTTGTCAGATGATCCCGGAGAGCCTTTGTCAGACCGCTCAGAAACCGAGGTGGATGACCCACTCAAATTTGTGCGTCGCATGTGAACATGTAGCGGAATAGGGACATGGAAAATTTTGGAAAGGGCTTGGTTAATATTCAGAAGCTGAAAGGTGAAGCGCACAATGTGCATCAAGAGGTTCATTATGCAAAAGCATCGTGA